AGGTCTTTTATGGTTTTTAATGCTATAACAAATGCAACTGTGAATGGTATTATATCCTTGGTGTAGCTGTAGTAATTATTTTTGGGTCTTACATAAATTTTTATTTATTTTTTTATTTTTGTAATTTGTGATTAAAAAGTCAGCTCATTATATTGTCAAGGGTGTCAACAATGCAAATAAATATTTAAAATATTTAGTAAATTTCTTTTGAATTAAAGTTATTATGGCTATATAATTAAAAAGAATTTTATTATTAATTTCAATTTGGTTTATTTTTCAAAATTTACTTAGCAATTCAAACTAATTTATTATGCTGCAGAAATAAATTTTCAAAAACCAAAACTTTTTCAGTGCAATTATGTTATATTTGCCAATATTTTTCAGCTTTGCTATTTAAACACATCAAATAAAATTACAGCAATATAAAATTGAATATTTCACAATGATTTATATTAAAAATGTCGCCATTAATTACGCACAAGTAGAGCGCACACTTGATTTCTAATTTTTTCAACGCACATGCACAAGCCACAAGGACACCCGCTTGATGGAAAATGTTGAATATTTCGAATTATGAATGCAAACAACTTCAAAATTTATTTCGAAAACACACAACGCGCGTACAGCACAACTGTAACCGGGTGAGGGGGCAGTGTGTTTGTGTGCTACAGGCGCGGCGACCGCAGTAAACTAACCTGATCAACTGGAAAATTGTGCTATTTATTCATTTTCCGCAACAGGTGGCATTCAATTGCAATTTCCACTGTCACATTAGCAATATCGATGCCAATTTTCGCAGCGCGGCGATGCTTTATGACCATCACCTACATATAATTATGATTAGCCGCAGCGGTAGCAGGAGATGCGTAAGTCCAATGTACGAGCTCACCTACCAATTAGCGAGTGTGTGTGTGGTAGTGTGAAAATACGTGAATTATTTTGCGTTGAATGAAATAATACACACTTGCAGCAACAAATATGCATACACACACACACACACACATGCATACAATTAGTTATGATGACAAAGGCCAAATTATAATGAAGTGAATTTATAATAATGATTTTTATCAATAAAACGATTATTTATCACTAAATACTTACGAGAAAATCATTTACGCATGCACAGAAATTGTTCTTTTATCATTTTCCCGCTAGCCTTTCGCGCTCATTAGCCGCCTGCGTTGCGTTAGGCGGAAGAGTGTAGCCTACCCACGGGCGCTATCATCGCTACTGCTACTACCGTTGCCTTGCAGTAGCTGCGGCCGCTGTTATATGGCAGGCAAGTGTTGCGTAATACTCGCCGGCGATAAGTCGGCAACAATAACAACAAATATAGTTGATAAAAATTGTTGAGTTCGAAACTTTTCCGCTTGTCACTTGCAGCCAGCGGCAATCAAATGACGCGCTTCGGGTGTTGATGCAAGAGTACGGCAGCAACCAATAAATTCCAGTTCAAGTTTATTGCCTCGTTATGCAGCTGAATACTCTTAACTTTGAGCCACAGCTGATTTATTATACATTTATTGAGTGAATAGCTTAGCGAATCGACTGTGTGGGCGGCCTGGTTTTTCTGCGCACTAACACATACAGCACATATATGAGTGAAATACGTATGACAATCAAATGGAATTTCCACACCTACACATGCTAAGAGAAAAGCAAAACATTTACACTATTTATGCAATAGTGTTTGCTACAATTATCACTGGCATTTATGGTTGAATTCTTTGCTTTGCTTTTTGTTGTTGCCTATACTTTTTCGTTATGCTAATTTGTTAATCTAGCAGTCTGACTGCCGCCATCGTTATTTACATTTAATTTACTATTGTGTGCTGCGTGAAAAATTTGATAAGCATCGGTAGTAATACTTATTTATGACAACACATTAACGTAATAATATTTAATTGAAATTTAGTGTCAGTCTGTTGTGAGCAATGCAAAGCACTTTTCATTATTCGCGTGTTGTGTGCTTTTACGCAAATAAATTTTGTGGAATTGGCCTTTAATACTTGTCAATAATGCGAATTTAGATGGATGTTTCTATGAAATATTGCATTTTACTAATTCAATATTGTATTTCCGGGAGAGTGTCTCAATTAAGTACTAAATTTTATTTTACCTCCAATGAATGTGTAAATAATGTGCGCGTGGTTAATTAGTTGGCCATAACGTATGCTAATACAAGTAGCCAGGTTTGTGGAGTAGATAGTATTAGTATGACTGCTAAGCAGAAGATTTTCAGAAGAAATTAAGAAAATTATGAATGTCAAAGACAATATGTTCAAAACTTGAACAAAAATTGTCTTATTATAAGTGCTCAGGCTGAAAACCAAACAAGAAATAACATTAACCGCAGCTGTAACGAGGTACAGGTGCATTTTTTTTTTATAATAAAAGGTTGTTATATATTTATCTGGATTTTGATTGAATTTTCAGATTGATATCTCAAGAAGTAATTGACTAGTTCGCATATATAAACAAACAGAGGGGCATATCGAAAGCAAGTCAGCTCGTTATGCTTATTATTTTAATATTGTCTATAGTATAGAGTTTTTTTCATTAGGGACGCTACAAAAGTATAGTCATAGGGACAGCAAATGCGCCATATTTTTCCCGCTCTTGTGACATTTCTCTTCAGTAAGGTTTGTCATTTAATCGTGGAAAGCTATACGATCCAACAACGAGTCGAAATTATTAAAGTTTACTACCGAAAATCGGAGTCAGTGGCCTCGGCTTTAAGAGCCAATTTTATGTTACTTGATAGGGCCTGTGACCTTCTTTCTGTGTGCTACAAGCATCCTAGCCAAATTTAATATATTCTGAACCGTGTGCAACTAGTAAGGAGCTGTCAAAACCCTATACAAAGTATTGTAAAACGAGTTTTTTTTAGAAATTTTTTAATTTTTCACAAACACAATTATTGAATGCCACAAAGCATTCAGTGAAGGTCGTGAAGTCATCGAAAGCTTGCGTACCTAACGTTTTCTCTCATCCCAAGTGCATGATGGCCTCATATGTATGACTAATCACCGACCATCTAAAATATCGCGGTATTACCGGCAGGCATCGGCATCGTCCGTTTCTCTGTATCACTCTATACAACATGCTTGATCGCATTGCGAGTCATCCATGCACTTCTATCAACGCCATAGCATCGAAAAAGTTAAAGAAATAGTTCTTGAAAAAACGAGGGTGGACAGCAGATTCTCTCAACATCTCTTGTGGAATGAGTCAATACATACGCAATTTTTGGCTAAAGCTTTAGGTATGAAACATGTCATTGTTAGATTCTTAACAACAGACAAGAATTGTGTAGGTGTCGATTACGTTTGACTTTTATCGAACGCAACATTACTGGTAACGAGACGTGAAATCAATGTAATGCTCAATATTTTCTTCGATTACCGTGATGTCGTTCACCATGATTTCCTTTGAGAGGATCAAGCGGTTAATAAGAAATACTACTTGGTCATTTTTAGGCAAATTGAGCAAACAAACATCAGTCATTCGCTGAAGGCACTAAGAGCCATCGCTATTGAGATTTATAACAAGTGCTTGGAAGTTTATTTAATCATTGGCGTTCTTGTATGGACCAAAAACGAGTTTATTCTGAAGTCGTAAACAAAGATAATATGGTTTTTTTCTGGTCGGGGTATTCTGGGTCCAGTCTAAAGTCTTTAGTTATTTCAATAACTTTTGTCTTTGCCCTAAATTATGTTATGAATTCTATTCAACTATGCTTCAGAGTAATGCAGAACATTCGACGTGTTTTATTTGGCCATCTTCCTTGTGGCACTTCCGATGACGCAATGAAAGAATCGACATTACAATGAAACACAACATCTATGTATTGTGTAAATATGACTTGATCCACTGCAAGAAGAAAGATTGAATACCCAAAGAGAATAACTTTCTAATTAGAAAGATGTAATGTTAGACTCCGTGCTGTCAATAAAAGTTTTATAAAGTAAGTCAAACAAATTATTAAACAGTTTAGTATAGTGTTGAAATTGAACGAAGGTGGTGAGCTTTTATTGAAGGCATTTTTCTCAAAAATTTATTTTTAAGATTTTTCAAGCGTTCGAGGACCTTTGTATGTCAAGGAAACTTATATGATTGTATATATTCAAAGGGGATATTATAACGACAAAATTCTAGATTTCTTAAGTTTTTTTTTAAGAAACATTTTGTAAATTAACCGCCATTTTCCGCATAATATCGTATTTAGATTTAAAGATACTCAAATTCGGTATGTAGGCGATATAAGTTCAGTGTTATAACTCACTTACAAATGAATCTGTAAAAGTCATATTTATTACAATACTTGCACTTACATTTGGCTTAACATTTTTAAAGTTGGGGAGGCTTAGTAATGCTGTATTTTGATAAGCCCACCATTCATAAAAACTACTAAAAGCGTTATCGTTCATTTAAGTATATTTCTATGTCAAATATTTACATTCTTTTAATTTTTTGTCGGTTGCTAGATAGTGAAAATCTTCTAATATTGATTACTTTAATTATTTGCCGTGAAAGAAGTTACTTTTAGAAATTGCTAGTATTATAATCGAGCGTTGCTATATTTTAATTCTTGTCACAGTTATTTAGTTGATTAAAATTCATTAAGTTCTTCAACATGTCTTGCTATACACTTGTGTTTAGCTTTTTATCACATGCTAAGTGTTATATATCGTTATCAATTGAGTCTATTGTCTATTGTAGAGCTGAAAATATGCGTGATCGTGTTTTAAATAATGCTGTTGAAAAATTATGAAAATCATTCGCTTGAAAGAAAAATATAAAATATTCAGATAACTGAACATTTCTTGATAACAAAATAAATATCTTAGGTTTTTGGATTGGTGCATGTGCCATATTTCCGATAGTTTCTATTTTTCTCATCTATTCAGCCAAATGAAAGTGACGCTCTTTTTCTAGTATATTAAAACTGATAAAAATTTTGTGTTTCTGAATATCAAATAATAAGAGTAAAGAGCTTAAATATATTTTACTTTATTACCTAAACTCTTGGTTACACTCACATTCCGACATTCTCAAAACATTAAAATCAAATGCTTAATTACTTTGCTGTTAGATGACTATATAATTTCTGCATATATGTATGTATATGTATATATTTATATTTGTAATATATATTATATTGTATTTCTCATTATCGAAATTTTACATTAAAAACGTCCGTTCAGTTTTCTCTGTAGCATGTTTGTCCTGTAGTTAAAATCATATAAGTCCTCTTCTGGTAGGCCTTGTCTGCCATCTGATGGTGCAGATGTTGGAGCGTCGCTCGCAGTAGTTGCATCAGGGGGCAAGTCGGTCGATCCGGGCGCTTCAGTCGATGCGGTTACTTCAGTGATGGTGTCAGTTGAAGCTGTGGCAGCGTCGGTCGTTTCAGGGGGGCTCCACTCACCAATTAAACAGTTGTTCAGATGCACTCTACTAATACTTAAGTCTTCCACATTCTTAACACGCGCGTTAGTAGTACACACACGTTCGGTGTCGTTGATGGCTTGATATGAAATTTTCAATTTGTCAGCAATGCGCTCCGATGTGACAGTTATGTTAAACAAATTCGGGCTGTTATCGTAAGACTGTTCAGATAAATAGAGGGATGTGGAAAATTAGCATGTGTACTGTATTGAGAATACTATAAATATGTACGGAAGATATTAGGTCTTTAACAAAATGTGTAATTCACATAATTTTCCACTTTATTCAACTAATTCTATTACTTACATAGTTTTTATTCACTTTCGTTCTAAAGAGCTTCTACATTGATAGTTTACTCTTATTAACTCTTTTTAACCACACAATGACCATTAATATACAAAATATGAAAGCGAATACTTACCGCCTGATTGTAGCACTGGAAAAATTGCAGACCATCAGTGATACTTTGACAAGCGCTCAAAGCTGAGCAAAGTGACTGGCCATCATCCAAGAGATCTTGACGTTCCAAAGCACTTTGTTCCGAAAGCAATTTCTTTGCTGCCGTTGCTGCGCCCACGCATAAGTTGTACTCACTGTAGTAGACTTCATTGATGGCGGTTTGATTATCCAAATACCAATCGAAGCAAGCATCGGTATCGCCAGCGCCGCTACGGGTCAGTTGCAGTGCCTGCACCACCTGGCGTAGCACTAAGTTCTGCTGGTCGAGTAGTGGCTGCCAATCCACAGGCGATTGTGCCAAGGCGCTGCTGACAATTGTTGCCAACAACAAGTAGAGCATTGATTTTGCGGTCATATTATACACTCTTGTTTCTTGAAGTATTATAATTTAATTATTTTTAATTTTTTAAAATATTTTTAGCTGTGTTCGCTCGAGAAAATTTCAACTTCCGTTCACTGCACAGCGTTTTCTTCACAACTTAACACTTGAACTTCCACTTTTCACTGATCTCCGAAAGCACTGGTCAAGAGTATTTATACAAATGCGGCATATTTTGCTTAATATTATTTGGTATTTATATGGCATTACTCAATACGCGTATATTTTAATCTGTTAATTTTAATTAAATTTCTTAAACCAACATACAATGCAACTGTAGATATTCTCTTAGTTATAACACTGTGGTGTACACAGACGGGTATTGGACCAAGCAATTTATTTCGAGTGACTGAGTCGAATGTAAGAGTGTTATAATGTGATAAAATTTGACCCGAATTGTCCAAAAAATACTGTAGTTTCATGTATATTAATACCATATATATTATTGCCTTCAAAATAGGCTATCGAGCCATATACGAGTACTTGTTATAAGCCTGAATATCATCCAGTGAGTTCAGTGTATTTTCGGTTTTTCGCTAATTTTTCGAGGGCTGTCGGTTGATGTTGAGATTCCTCCTAAACTGTTTGCTGTCAATCCGACGATTTTAAAACTATATTTCTTAAAACTTTTCTGCGTTTTTGTTCTTGTTCTCGTCATAGTAACAGAGGCGGATTGACGACTCGCTTGCCGCAAAATCGATGACTTCCCGGTCTTCTCTGCTTGGTTTGTGTCACTTAAATACTTATGTTTGTGATAAAATGGACTCACCAAAATACTTCTATAACGTTACAAACCATTGCATTTTGGTAAAAATCGCCAGACTCATTTTTCAGATAGAGATAATATAACTGGAAACGCAATATGATTGACATATGCAGACCAAATTTCACATTAATTAAAAAATATATTTTATTAATCAAAGAATATGTCTCACTGATTCTGTCTGCGCGTGCATTGGAATACAGTCCGGGTCAAATTTGATCAGTAGTTATTTATACGTATAAAATCAGAATATCTGATTTTTCTAGTGGTATGTCAATGTGTGGTACCTTAGAGGTACTTGTTTCAAATATCCTTTTCTTCACAGATCACGCGTGAGTCGTGTCAAGCTGTTATGTTACTTTAATTCAGCATTGTTTAACGTTTCATCATGGCAAGACTTACGCCTGAACAACGTTTACAAATCATTCAAGTTTTTTACGAAAACTCACGTTTTGTTGAGCTCAACTTATAGACGCACTATTCGCAACACCATCACCCCTCTTGAGACCCAGCATTAATTTTTTGATAATATTCGACCGAATACACCACGTCCAACACGTAGTTAAGAAAATATAGCAGCCGTATCTGAAAGACCGTGGAGGATCGTAACCGTGCTGCTCGCAGCAACTCAGAACCATAGGGAACCACTTGGCGCATTTTATGTCCAGATCTTAAATAGAAGGCATACAAAATACAGCTTGTACAAAAATTGAGCCGTTCGACCTTTCCAAGCGACATCGCTTCTTTCTATGTGCTCTTGAAAATTTTCAAGAAGATCCAACGTTTTCGAGCAAAATTTTGTTCAGCCATGAGACCCATTTTTGGGTCAATGGATATGTAAGCATGCAGACTTTGCTGCATTTGAGACAAAAATAAATCTGAAGAGATTTAAGATCTGTCATTTCATCCAGAAAAACAACGGTCTGCGGGCCGGTGGAATAATTGATTCATATTTCTTCAAAAGTTATGCCGGTGAGAATGTAACCGTCAAAGACGACTGATATTGCACCATGATAACCGATTATTTGGTGCTTGACATTGAAGCTCGTAATCTCGGAGACATTTGATTTAGTCAATCAGTGGATTTGTTGAATAAAAATTTCGGTGAGCAGATAATTTCACGTTTTCGCCAACAAGATCGTGTGATATCACCCCGTTAGGCTTTTTCCTATGAGTCTATGCGGATAATCCCGATTCTATTCAGGCCTTTGGGCAAAACATCAAGCATGTTATTTGTCTGTTGCCAGTCGAAATGCTCGAACGAGTCATCGACAATTGGACCCAACATATGGACCATCTGAGACGTCACGCGGCCAACATTTCAAAGAAATAATCTTCACAAAATAATGCCAAATAATGTTCTTTCGAATGATAATTAATTTTCCAAAATAAATTTAAAATTTCTGTTATATTTCCTTAAAAAAGGTGGGAATTTCGAAATGGATTATCCTTTATGGCGTTCTTTCGGTGTTTTTATACCCAGAACAGGGTATATTAAGATTGCCAAGAAGCTCGAAGCATTTGCCAGGAAACGACGGACACTTTATGAAATCTGTGCTGATTTGATTTAGCCATGACCGATTGTCCGTCTGTCTGTATGTATGCGAACTAGTTGCTCAGTTATTTAGATATCGCTTTATTTTAACCGTACAGCTAAGCGTTTTTGACTTGAGAAGGTTATTCAATTATTTATCTTAATTGGTTGAAACTGTTTGCTAACGTGCGTTGGGTATAAGAGCTTTGTGTAACTTTTTCTCAATTTTAATATTAATTTTCATTCTTTACTTCCTTATCAATTGATTTGAGGTGACCGATTATATAGACACTTTGGCCGTGGTACATATCGCAATACCGAATGGTTCGTATGTGTAAAGAATATCTATGTCTGCAAAAAAGGAGAAATAAGTTGAAAGATGTAGAAAGTAATTGATAAACATAAGCGCGGATAAATAATTAATAAGCAATAAATTAGCGTAGTGATTCATCGGAAAGCAATATTGATACGTACAAAAATAAATTATAGTAAAAAATAAATAAATATGAAATTTAATTATCATTCAATAAATATTTAATAAAAATTAAATAAATATGAAATTTATTTATTATAAAAGTAAGTATAAGTTGTTATAAAATAATTTATTATCAAAGTTATTTCTTCCGACTTTTTCTACCATTTGGCGTGCGCTTTTTTATTGCCGCTCGTTTTTTAAGCAATTTTTTCTACATTGTACTCAATTTAATTCACAAAGTCACCAGCGATTTGACAACTTGCCAAGCTATCTTTAAATTGAAAAATCAAAATGAGCATTTCAACCGTTTCGTTTAATTTCAATTTATATGCAACCACAAGGAAACAATGTGGCAACCAAATGACATCCGCACTTATACGACGCCATTGACTGGATTTCGCTTTTTGTAAGCCAAACTCTCGAAGCTAAGCAATTGATGGCGACAAACCCTGTGAGCTAATATCTATGTGTATGTACCTACATGTATGCGTTTATGCGTTTGTGCATGTCTGTAAGTTCCGAGAAAATGCCGAAAATTATTTTTATCAAACTCAAGAAATCTTTCTGCAAATGGCAAGCTCTTGTTGTTTTTGCTGTCGCTAGGATAACTTTAATGGTTGCATTGTTCGCTACACTAACACTAACACAAGCACATTTGTGCTCATTTACATTTCCTTAATCGCGCGCTCTCCATTCAGTTGACAACCGAAATGGATTGAAAGAGTAATGCCTTTGGCAAATCTTAGCCACTGGCTTGAGGCTACTCAAGTCGTGTCCATTCACTTTGCTTGTTTTTGTTGCTTTGCGTTACTTACTTTATTATTATTATTATTATAAAAAAGTTTACGACAACAAAAAGTTATTTTCAACTAGAAATCATCAGGGTGCAGCATACATCCGAGCAGGCGAGCAGCAAGAATGGTTAAGCGACTGAAATGAAATTGAGTATTATTTACTTAAAAATGTATTTTAATAAATTTGAAATAAAACTTTCATGGTTGAAGAGTAGTGACCTGACAAACGGTGACCAAACTAGAATTTACAGAGTAAGCTGATTGCAATGTGTTTGGTTAAATTGACTGGGAATCATGCACTATGAGCGGCTTCCCCACGGCATAGCTCTTAAGTTGATCTTGTACTTGCAACGATTGAAGCTGTCTGAAGGAAGCAACCGCCCAGAATAGGTCTGTAGGGAGGAATTGTGTTTCAAAAGGAGAACACACACATTGAAAGTAAATGAAGAGAGCGTCGAGAGCTTAGTTGAGCGTAGGTTTCTTAAAGCGTGTTAGTATGTATTTACCTTCGAAATTACCAAAAAATATCGAAAAAACGGAGCATATTTGACCAGAACTCTAACTGCTCAATGCGAAAAAGATCTTAATGTAGAATCACAATAAATAAGGAGACAAAGTTCAAAAATAATGTATTTCTACTTACTAGACCCATTATGTTTATCCGAATTTAACCTTTGGCATAAATACTTAAATCCCCAAAGGTAACAATAAGCAAAATAAAATTAAGTGTTTCCAAGAAATACAGCTTTCCATTTTCGGCCACTTGAATTTGAATTTTAATCAGTTTATGAAATCAGAGCCTTCATTTCGAAAGTGTTGCACAACATCAAGCAGGTTTCGTAGTTGCTGTTGAAGGTTGCGGCTGAAGGTAAGTATTTGTGCCGGTGTACAATCTGTTGTGTGTAAATGCAAGAACTTTACGGTGTATTGCGAACACGTGCTCATAAATAACCCTTACAGGTATTTATTGGCTGTAAAGATTAAGTAACGTGTAGCAGCTTATTGAAGAAAATTGATTTTAAAATTTATACGCAAAGTCGGAGCACTAAAACTGATTGCCTAAAAATACATGAATATACTAAATGAGTGTGTGGAGTATCTTGGTCATGCGGGTGGGATGGATAAATGAGTAAATAAACTGAAGTGAGTATGTCAAGGAAGTCGTGTACAATTTATTAAAAATAAGAAATATTTGCAGTTATTTGGTGGGCGAGTAGCAGCTTCAGAAATATGGCAAGGAAGTAAATATAATTAAAATTGTTCTGTAGACTTACTAGTTTGAAGTAGTGCGCTGCC